CCCTAATTACGTAACATATGATCAAAATTGTATTATATATTGTTGCCAATCTTTAAGATAAATACTTTTGCTTCAGTAATGTATAACAAAATATTGATCAATGGAGAGTTATAGATAAAAGACTGTTAGCCCCTCTGAGCCCCTAATTTGAGGGGTCAGCCCCTTTTTTCTTGATATCAAATGAAAGGTCTTGTGATTTTGAAGCTTTTTTGTTCAACACTTATTCAGAGATTTCTATTCGTTGTGGAGATATGCTACATAGAAATATTTAGGGGCCAATCCTACAAGTCCTTAATGGGGCCGTTTTACAAAAATTCAAAGTATGCATATTGTTTAGAATATTATTCTGATCATCTTTTGTTCAATATTGCTTATCAAAATATTCCCCCTTTTCGAGATATAAAGCGTCAAAGATTTGATATTCTGGCCCCTTGTGACCCCTAATCACGTAACATATGATCAAAATTGTATCATATATTGTTGCCAATCGTTAAGATAAATACTTTTGCTTCAGTAATGTATAACAAAATATTCATCAAAGGAGAGTTATACATAAAAGATTTTGGCCCCTCTGAGCCCTTAATTTGAGGGGTCAGCCCTTTTTTTCTGATACCAAATGAAAGGTCTTGTGATTTGGAAGATTTTTTGTTCAATACTTATTCAGAGAATTCTATTCGTTGTGGAGATATGCTACATAGAAACATTTAGGGGCCAATCCTACAAGTCCTTAATGGGGCCGTTTTACAAAAATACAAAGTATACATATTGTTTAGAACATTATTCTGGTCATCTTTTGTTCAGTATCGCTTATCAAAATATTCCCCCTTTTCGAGATATAAAGCGTTAAAGATTTGACATTCTGGCCCCTTGTGACCCCTAATTACGCAATATATGCTTAAAAGTTTATTACATATAGTTCCAAATGGTCTAAAATTAAAAAATATCTAAAAATCAAGCAGAAAAAATGATAAAATTTTTTGGTCACACGGGGGATCGAACCCGGGTCGCCCGCTTGACAATCCAACGCGCTAACCATTTAGCCACTGGGATCGCCGCTTCACGTTTTCAAATGCAAATATCTCGAGATTGGCTTTTTCCATTTTCAAACAAATTACATATTTCGCTTCTACAAGAGGGTCTCTATTCATATCAAAAACAAAAATATTGAAAAATAAAAGTTGAAAAATTGCGTTTTTTAAATTCACTTCCGGTAGCGACCGGAAGTATTGATGACACACGAAAAGGTGATTCTGCAAAGCTATAAGTCATGAACTATCCTCTCAAATAAGTCTCCTGTTCATATCTTAAGCAGTTTTCGCTACTAAGTTCAGACAAAATTGCATTTTAAAATCAGGAAATTGTAGATAACTGACGACCGGAAGTGACGTCATCAACCAAAAAAATTTCCAATAAGGTTCAGATCAGTACTTATCAGATGTGAAAGTTTCATGAGAATCGGCCCAGTAGTTAACGAGAAATCGCGTGCACAAAATCGGTAAGAATAGGGAAAAAGAAACCGAAGAATAACAAGAAGGTCTTCCGTTGGAGACGGAAGACCTTAATAATAATAATAATAAGAAACAATAGAATCACTATAAGGTCTTCCGTGAAGACGGAAGACCTTAACTAGAGCAAAGGTCGTTGCAAAGCAACGAGTAGGTCTTCCGTCCTATTTTACCGGAAGTAGCTTTCATTTTGAACAAAAATGAGAAATAACACCTAAAAATGGGTTGACTCCTCTAAAGCTATGTTAATTAATGCAAAAATAAGCTATTTTTTGCTACTTCCGGTTTGACCGGAAGTGACGACGACGGACGAAAACTTCATTTTTATGCTCACAGAGACATATCTTACCCAAAAACTTGTCAAGAACGGCAAAAATACGCGTTTTCCGACTACTTCCGGTTTGGCCGGAAGTGACGACGCCGGACGTATTTTGTTGACTCTAATAGATTCAGCTTGACATTTTGAACAACTTTGCTTCTTTGACGTATTACAAATTCTTAATACTTTTTGAGATATAAAGGAAAAACTTTCGGCCCCTCCAGTCCCTTAATTTTAGGGGCCAGCCCTTTTTTCGAGATATCATTTGAAAGATCTTGGAATTTTACACTTCTTTTGTTCTATATGTTTTATCAAAATATTTTCATGTAAAAAGATATTGTAGAAAATGTGTTAAGAATTTTGAAATTCGCGATTTGACAATTTTCGGGCCATAGCGAGCGCCGACATGTGGTACTTCCGACAAAAATGAAATGCATTTTGCACATCTATAGACTTAGGACTATCATACCTGAAATTTTCACGTTTCTATCTATAGCCATTTTTTAGAACGTTCGCGGACAACCTGACACTTCAGTAATCATAAAATCGACGATATTTCGGGACCGGAAGTGACGTCATCAAAACGGAAAAAAATGAATCGAGTTCAAGTAATGTTACATAAGTCCTGAAAGTTTCATAAAAATCCATCGAGGCGTTTTCGAGAAATCGCGTGCACAAAATCGGTAAGAAAAAAAGAATAATAATAGGTAAGAAAAAAAGTGAAAAAGAAACCGAAGAATAACAAGAAGGTCTTCCGCTGAAGACGGAAGACCTTAACTAGATATGATCTCGTTGCGAGCAACGAGGGGTCTTCCGTCCGACTCTGAAGTAAAAAACGAAAAATCTAGCAGAAAAAGTGATTTAAAAAAAATCAGACATTCGCGGGAGCGAACCCAGATCGCCCGCGTGACAATTCGACGCACTAACCATTCGGCCATTGAAAACACCGCTTCAAATTTTTAAATACGAAAATCTCGAGATTGCCTTTTTTGATTCTAAAACAAATTGCATATTTTGCATTCGCAAAAGACTCACTGTTAGGATATTTAATATCAAAGAAAAATATTGGAAAACAAAAAAGTTTAAAAATTGTGGTTTTTTAAATTCGCTTCCGGTATCGACCGGAAGCACTGACGGAAGATTTGAAAGTATAGTGCAAAACTGCAACATGTCATCTATCAGTCCTAAAAATGAAAACATTCTAGCTTTTGTCGTTTTTGAGTTTTTGTGTCGACAAAATGGTCACTTAAAATTCGATTAAAGGTCGATAACTTCCGACCGGAAGTGATTTTTCAAAAATTAAAAAAAATGTATCAGGATTAGATCATGATACATCATCTCTGAAAATTTCAAAGAAATCCGTCCACGCATCTCTAAGAAATCGTCTGCACAAAATTTGGACGAAGAAAAATAATAATAATAGTGAAAAAGAAACAAGAGAATAATAGAAGGGTCTTCCGTTGGAGACGAAAGACCCTAATAATAATAAGAAGAAGAAACAGAGTAAAAACAATATGTTCCCCAACTTCGTTTGGGGAACATAAAAAGAAAACAAGTCAACTGTCATATACACAAGCAACTAGACATCTTTCCTTTACCACACATGTGTAACAGAAGGTTGCCCTGAATAGTCCCGAATCAATTGACAGGAATCGTTTTCAGTTTTAACCGTTTATTGATTACAACAATTTAACAGAACATCCATACACTGCAACAGTGCTAACAGGTCAAATGTAGACTGCTCTCTCTCCTATAAATATGTCAACTGTCTTCAATATGAAAATCAACACTGTCCATTAAAATTTACAACAGTCATATACAGTGGACCTTCAGATATCCGGACCCCAGATATCCAGATGCTTCAGTATCCGGACGACTTTTCATCGGGACGGAATTTTTAAATACTATGTTGTTTTGTTTAACTGGTGATTCAGGTATCCGGACACTTCACATATCCGGACAAATTGACTAGGAACCAAATCGTTCGGATAAAAGAGGCTCCACTTTATAGTAATAACACCCTTGGGCTAACCCGGGCGGGGACGTACTGTGACGCACAATCAATATAACAATAAGTATTACGTTAACAAAATGTTAAAAGGTATATTTATGTACATGATAAATATTAGGGCTGTGTATTGAGCCAAAAAATTCGATACGATACGATACAATATTTTTTAAAGCGATATGCGATATATTGGATTCTGAAACAAGTCCATCACAAAAGGCTTCTAAATCATTTTAATGCATACATTTCATAACAATTAAGTGTTTTATTACCCATTTGAAAGTTCTTGTCTCATTGTCTTTAAAAATAACACTTCAATTACAACTTTTGATGACAGTAAAATCAACTTCTTCAAATAAATTTTTCTTTGTATTTTGTAATAATTATAAAAACTGTGTTATTTCCTTACATATTATACAATTATTTAAGGTTTTAATTCAAAAAAGTAAAATAAAATCTTTGGTGATTTAAATTCCCATCTTTTAAACAGCTGAAGAAAAAATGTCTGTCCGATACGTATTGGAAGTTATTTTTCGATACGATATTTTTCTTGAATATCGATACATATCGATATATCGATATATTGATACAGCCCTAATAAATATAGACTTATGCTAATTTAATATCAGTCAATTTAATGTACACAAGTAATACTCAATTACTGGAATATTAATTATTATTAATTTCAGTTTAGTGTGAAGTTTTGCATTCATATCACAATCTTTTTTCGTCAGATGCATCCAGCATAAACATGATTAGTCAACTCAACTTATCAACATTGATACGGAAATAGTCTGTTGCACAAGCAACCGATCAGGGATTAGAAGAAACTTCGAGTTGTAAAGCTTGCAGTTAGGAGGCATTTACTTTTATCTTGATATCAACATAGGTTGTGACGTAATGCAAAACTACACACTTAACTGAAATTGATTATAATACATTTTCAAATAAAGATATCAACCATCACACATGTATGTTAATTTACTCTTTTTACACAAACATATATTAATATAGCAAGACCGAAGTACCTGAGTCTTGGTGTTTACTCCTGGATCTTTTACCACCATGTCAAAATATAACAGACCACTGTATTTCAGTTTAGTTCTTGCGTTGTGTATTATTGTGTAATACATGTAATTCTGAATTATGCCCTTAACTAATTAAATAGGGACAGTTTCCATAGTAACAGCTGATGGAAGAATAATTGTAGTAAGTATTTACGTTTGATAATTGCATCAAATCAAAACTAGTCCATAATTATTACAAAAAGACTGTATTCAGTGATGCATAGAGAATATTACTCAACAAGCAAATTCAAAGAATTGTGGTCCCCCGCTTTCGGTGTCTTTCTGAGTGAGAAGTTATTTTTTATGACATATTGTGTGTAATTTGAACATCTTATCATATGTGAATTATTTAGAAAGTAACATTGAAGTTGATTTTTTTTTGAAGGATGAAAACCCTAATCCAGACCGTTAAAAAGTTATGGAAATTTTTTAAGTAAAATTTTTTTTAAAGTAGGTCAAATCCAAGGTCAAGATTAAAGGGTCAAAGTTGTTGATATCCAATCAAAGGTCTTCTCACAAGCATTAAATATTTGAAGAATGAAAGCCCTAGCCCTTACTATTCAAAAGTTATGGTCAAGGTTAAAGTTTTTCATAAGTACGTAAATCTTTAAGGTCAAGGTCAAAAGGTCAAAGTTGTTGATATCCAATGAAAGGACTTGCCACAAAGAATACATATGTGAAATATAAAAGTCCTAGTATCTACCGTTCAAAAGTTGTGACCAAAGTTAAAGTTTTTTTTAAAAAAGTAGTTAAAACTCCAATGTCAAGGTCAAAGGGTAAAAGTTGTTGGTATCCAATCAAAGGTCTTCTCAAAATGATTACATATGTGAAGTAGGAAAGCCCTAGCCCTCACCGTTCAAAAGTTATGGTCAAGGTTAAAGTTTTTTCATAAGTACGTAAATTTCCAAGGTCAAGGTCAAAAGGTCAAGGTTGTTGGTATCCGTTGAAATGTCTTGAAACAACGAATACATATGTAGAATATAAAAGTCCTAGTATCCACTGTTTAAAAGTTGTGACCAAGGTTAAAGTTTTTAAAATGTAGTTAAAACTCCAAGGTCAAGGTCAAAGGGTAAAAATTGTTGGTATCCAATCAAAGGTCTTCTCACAAGGATTACATATGTGAAGTATGAAAGCCTTAGTCCTCACCGTTCAAAAGTTATGGTCAAGGTTAAAGTTTTTTTCATAAGTATGTAAATCTCCAAGGTCAAGGTCAAAAGGTCAAGGTTGTTGTTATCCAATGAAAGGTCTTGCCACAAACAATACATATGTGAAATATAAAAGTCCTAGTACCTACTATTCAAAAGTTATGGCCAAAGTAAAAGTTTGGAATTTTTGTGTAAAAGTGGGTCAAACTCCAAGGTCAAGGTCAAAAGGTCAAATTTGTTGGTACCCAAAGAAAGGTCTTGTCACAAGGAATACACATGTGAAATATGAAAGTCATAGCTCCACTAAATCAAAAGTTATGGGCAAGGTTAAAGTTTTTGTGACGGACAGACTGACAGACTGACAGACTGACCGACTGACGGACAGACGGACAGACAGACAGACGAATGAGATTTAATGTCCCCTCGCTTTCGCGAAAGCGGGGGACAATAAATAAATTTGTAAAATATAAAATTTATAAAATGAAAAGATAATTAAGGTACCTCTGCTTTTTCACAATTTTTAAAATATACATGTAATATTTTACAAACACACCTTAATTTAGTACATGAATATGTTTTCCAGCTTCAAATTTTCCAAGTTCATTTTAATTAATGTTCCCAGGACATGCAGGAGTTAAGAGAATGATCCTGTCTTGAAGATCTGGTCTAAAATTTTCTGGTTCTTTACAGGGAACGTTGAAAGGTTTTGATCAGACCATAAACTTAATTCTTGACGAGAGCCATGAAAGAGTGTACAGCACATCACAGGGGGTGGAACAAGTCATATTGGGATTATACATCATTAGGGGGGATAATGTGTAAGTATTTATATATAAACATGGAGGTGGAGCAAGTGATACTGGATTGTACATCATCAGGAGAGATAAAGTGTAAGAAAACACAAGTGGCAGACAAGATGATATATCATCATGGAGGATATTGTGTAAGTACATCAAAGAGGGTAAAACAAGTCAGTAATGGAATTTGGAGTTTTTGAAACTTTTGGAATTCTACACCATCTTTGGAGATAATGTGTAACAGAAAGTAGGTCACAATGGGTGGAGCAAGTCACACTGGGATTAATCAGGGGAGATTACCGGTACATGTAAGTGATTCACAGAGGGTGGAACAAGTCATACTAAGTCTGGATTGTGTAATATGTAAATACATCATAGGGGATGGAACAAGACATACACTTGGATTGTACATACATCTGGGCAGTTATGTGAATCAAAGTCATTTTACATTTTCAACTTGCCATTGCAGTAAGGCCCTATATGTCCATCTTGTGCGCTAAGTTCAAAATCAAGAGAGAAGAAAAGCATACAATTTTCTGTAGATATTTAAATATCTGCTTAAAATTAAATATTGATATTTTATTTATCAATTTCCTTAAGTTAATTTACATTGGTACAAATATAAACTGTCTTCTATCTATAGCTATATCTAATTGTTATTGGCTAACTTGTATTTTGGAATATTATACTCTGTAATAGAAAAAGAGAGAGAATCCTAGGTGTTCAGTATGCTACCTTTTCTCTTGACAGAGCGGTGATAGGGGAAATTGACGATGACACAGACAATGGATTAGACTTCAACAGCATCAAGGCAGAGCCACTCAATGCCGTGACACACTGAAGACTAGAGTCCCCACATCATTTAAATCATGCATTGCTGTACCAAACATTCTAGCCTTGACATTGTGCATCATTTAAATCATGCATTGTCTTACGAAACATTTGAGCATTAGCAATGTGAATTTCAAGGCTTATTATT